GGGGGGGGGGGGCGCGTGTGTGTGTTGGCCTTGCAGGTTTGTTCTGCACAAAACTTTGCTCTTCTCCGCGCCTGTGCCGGTGCATGGCCGCCGCACCGAGATTTTTCAGCTTGCCGGATGTCGCTGCAGCTGCTGCAGGGCTTTTGCTCCCGGGAGACAAGGATGTCTCTGTCACGGGGACCAGTTCCTCCCAGAGCTTTCTCTTTGAGTAAGTTCGAGAGGGTGCAACTGTTGTTTGGAGGGCAGACCCTGTGAGATCCTCGGGGGCTGAGAAACAGCCTTTCCCAGGAGGAAAGTAAGGAGGCCTGCTGGGAAAACGGGAAGTTCACTTGCGGCTGGACCCCCATCCCCAAACCTGATTCATGCAGCTTATTGAGGGAAAGGGAAAGCTTTCAGTGGCACGTTACTGGAATAGCTCTCGCGACAAGGAGACAAGCTTTGCGTAGGCATGCGTGGGCACCTTGTTTACAAGGCGAACTGTGTTTGGGGATTTTTTTCCTTCCCAAAACTTTGCCCAGGCGTGATAAGAAGCAGCTAGCTGTTGAAAGAGAGGGTGCCAGGTTCTTGAATTAGGAGCTGGATGCTTTGGCAAGCTCTCTGCACTGATAGGCTGCGGAACAAAAGGGTTTCAGAAGGGAAGTACAGTGTGGTGAGCGTACCAGTTACATAATTGCTATTCCTGGGCAAGTAGGTGTGCTGCTGCTCGGGATGCCCTGCTGCTCCTTCCCACTGCTGGGGGGGGGCGGGGGCTTCAGGGGGACCTTCTGCAAGCAGGGCGAGTGCAGGTTCTCTGTGTCAAAGCACTCCACCCTCCCACCCCTTGCCTTTTTACAGATACACACAAAATCATCAAGGGCCCCTTCTTTTCCTTTAGTGGGAGGGTCTGTTCAGAGACCCTCTGCCAATGCAAATACTGGAGTGCCTTAACCATCACAGCCCCCCGTCCATTTGGGTGCCTCAGCTTAAATTTCTAATACTCTCTCCGCAACTTTTTCCTTGGTTGGTCTTCCATGGAGCTGGGGACCCGGTTAGTACATCCCCTCCCTTTGCCCACTCAAGAACGGCTTTCGATTTATTTATATTGAGAACCTCGGGCCGCCCCGAATAATCGGGCATGGGGGCCATGGGGTGGGCATGACAGATGCTCCAGAGCAATTGCGTTGGTCAGTGGATGCGTGTCTGCCCCCCCCCCATTGTAAGACTGACTCTCTCAGTGACCCTTGAAGGGGGAGGGCGACTCGAGTGGGTTGCAGGCGGCTTTGTGCCGTGGATGCTGCTGCCAGGCATTGTCTGCTTTTTCAGGCGGGCGGCTTTCAGTTGATAAGCCGAGGGCTTGGCAAGACAACCGCTCCATCACTCCGCTCCTGGGAATGAAGGAGCTTTTGGGAGGCATCTGGGGTTCCGCCTGTTTGGGGCAGACCCACTGAAATGCAGCCGACTTGTTAGACTGAGCCTGAGTGGATTCAGCCCTCGCCGTGCGGGAGGGGTTTCTCCATCCCGTGGTCTCCTTGAGCTCTCTGTGCATGCCTCGGAGAACGATGCTCCAGAGGATCTCCCATCTCCTGGAGAAGATCTGAGCACGCACAACTGCAGGAGTGGAGCGGGGGCAGAAAAGGGGCACAGCTTGCTGGTGGTTCCCTCCCCCCGGCAGGATGACCCAACTGGGTACAAATCATTGGACAGAGCCCAAAGTTGGGACTGTTTCCGCAAGCCAGCCCTTCTGATTCTGCTTCTAAGTGCCGCTGACGCAGGTGAAGCATTTCTCTACCATCCTCATAGCACCTGGGAGCAGTACCTGAAATGCAGAAGAAGCAAGTGCTATGGTGATCCCCCTTCTTGACCTTTTCTTCCTGACCTTCAAGACCCACACATATTTGGGTGGAGCTTGGGAAGGGTGAGTGCAGGCTCCTGCTGAGAGGTCCCGCCGCATCCTCTCGCAGACGGAGCTTTTCCTCTCCTAGTGGCAGTTTCCTCTCACTGGGGCAGAGTGGAAAGTTGCTGAACAGCAAATACTTTGCTCCTCTGCCCTTAAGGGCAGCTTGGTTTGCAGGAGATCCCAATTCCTGTGGCTGGAGGGGGTGGGCCACACCTGGCGAACAAGCTGCTGTTAGCAGGAACAAGAGGGGGGTGCGGGAGAAAGGCGAGGAAAGGGGCTGCTCCTTTGGCCTACATGAGAAGGTGCAACATTCCCAGCTCACTTTGCAATCTTGTGCATGCAGCCCCTCAAGCTGGGCGCCAACTCGGGTCCCAGCCAGACCAGACACTCCGGTGCTTCCCAGAAGGCCTCCCCTTCCCCAGGCCTCACCCCCCTTTCCCCACCGCCAGATGGAAGCTTCTCCGCACTGGAATTCTTGGGGGCTGGAAAGCGCTGCTTCCCGGTAAGCAGCACACCGTGACTGCTTGCTCTTTGTTGCACGTAATCTGCTAAGGACTAAGAAGTGCTTACCCGCTCCTGCCCTTCCTCTTCGCCCTTCGTCCTCACAACAGCTCAGTGGGGTAGGCCAGGCTGAGAGTAAGAGCAGCCCAGGGAGGGGGTTCGGACCGCGGTCTCCAGGCCTAGCCAGACACTCTGCACATTCCCATCAGCCTGGCAGCCATACCTTGGTCACCTGCAGCGAATGAGAAACTCCTGCAGGTGGCCACGATGCAGGCACGCGCGTCGATTTTCTGCATTCCCCCTGCTGCTTCTCCAGGCATCCCTGTGCCACGACCGGCTGGTGCGAAGGCTTGTATGAAGGCAGTTCCTCGGCCACGGGGCCCCGTGCTGGCCACGCAGGCGGGCGGGCGGGGGTGGCCTCTGGCGTTCCGGGAAGGGCTCTGCCCAGCCTTGCTGCGGAGGTGCGCCCCAGACCCACCAGGGCCTTCCGGGGGCAAAGCAGGGCCTCTGACCCGACCTACGAGACGGGCGTGTGAGGATGGGGGTTTTCCAGCCAGAGCCCCCTTGCACTGAGCAACGAAAGACTTGGTGCGCTTATTCCAAGGCTTTTGAGACTGGGGCGGCATATAAGTGTTCCAAATAAATAAATAAAATTCCTCTTCCTGAATGCACGGAAGAAGCCCTGAGAAAACATGGTACAAAATGGCATCCTCTGGATCCCTGCCCCCCCCCCCACCCCCCGTGGAAAATTCCTCGAATGAAACAGGAGCAGAGCTTTCTTTGTCTGGGAGCACCCTGACTCCCGCGCAAGCCCGTGCGAGGAGTGCGTCTCGGGATCGGGCCCCTCTCCTCCCTCAGCAGCAGGCTGGCCCTAATGCGGCTATCATTTCTACCTGCCGGCTGAGCGTAGCTGTGGAGGGTGACACCCAACTGTTCAATTAAGAGGCTGTTAATTGCCTGACTACTTGACAGTTAATCAATCCGTTGCACCTGCAGCCTGCAAAGTAATTGAGAGCTGTGGGACATCGGAGGCTGCTCCAGCGTCTTCGGAAAGACTTGCTGGCTTCGTGGTTTCGGTTCGGGTTCCCTTAACCAGCCCCACTGGAAGGAGGCAAGCCTTTTAGAAGTCCCAGCGTGGTACGGCCTCCCTCCACTTAGAAATAATCGTCATTAAATAAAGTTTGCTAAACTCATGAAGGATAGGCGTTAGTGCGGCACAAGCAGGATGAAATTTAGGAAGAATAGCCGTGCGAGGACAGATTCACAGCTTGGCAATAGGTTGTGTGGTGCAGTCCTCACGGGAGTGAGCAACCCTGAGCACCCGTGGATGATTTGCTTGGTGGCAGCTCCACGTCAACCTCTCCCACATGTGAAAAGCCAGCCAGCCATGGAGAACGAACTTATTTGATGGCTTCTCCCCAACTTGCTAGCCTTCCAGATGCAGGGAGAGTTTGGCAGGGGGAGCACTTTCAGGCCCCACCATCCTTTTGACGGAGGTGAGGTGTTCCTGAGAGAGGCAAACCATCCAGCGCATCCTCCCCTGCGATGACAACGGCAAGTAATTCTGGGAGTTGTAGTCTGATGTGTCTGGAGAGTGACCCCAGGTGACCCCAGGCTGTGGCTGCATTGCCCCCCCTCCGTTTTTCTCTCTTGCCTGCCAGGTGTGTTCGACCACATCTGCCATGAGCCATGGCACACCTGGAGGGCCAGGGTTGGAGAAGGCTGCTCGGAAGCCCCCCCTCACTTCTCAGGGTCGCTGTCGGTGGGCTTTCCTCGTGGAATTGGCCCAACACGGGGCTTCTCTGCCGACCTGCAGCGCGTCCCCCCCCCCCCACGCCTGTAGCCCCAGGGGTGTGGAAAAATAAATGCGCTTCCGCATTTGTGTCCATGGGCAGCGTCCTTTCCCTCTTCTCCCCGGCTCTGGAAATGTCTCTCGCTGGCAGCGATTGTGCGTTGTGCAAAGAAGGGCATTTCTTAAAGTCCCGGCCGTGGGAGGCAGTGACGGCTCCCCGCCCAGGATGTTGCGAAGGCTTGGCTCAGGGAGGAAGAAGTGCTTCCAGCCCGAGGGCCCCGCTCCGTTTCGGAGGAGCCGCAAGGGCTGCGGTTCAGAGGTGGCCTGGGGGAAGGCCCACAAGCACAGCAACGGGCATTTTTAACTTTACATTTTGGGGACTTCTGGAATGAGGAGGGCCTGCAGCACAGATGGCAACCCCCGGAGATGACAGGCTGGGGCCCAGGGGGGCTGGACCTGGCCCCCCAGACCTGAGGTTCCCCATCGCTGGAGGAGAGGTTTATGGGAAGAGTCTGTCATCGTCTCCATCGCAGCCCTTGGCTGCAATGGCTCCTTGGAACTGAGCCCTATTAATAGAGGAGAGGAATGCCGGCAGAAGATTGTTGTCCCTGTCACTTTGGGGGCTTTGTCCCAGGCATGGGGGCAAGCTGGCGGCGTCGCACTGGATTTGACGGGCCTCTGGTTTTATCCCGCTGCCATCTTTCCCACAATGGAAATGAGCCACTGCGAGAGCACAAGAAAACTTAAATGTCGTCTCAGACCCGTTTGGCGCCTCCAAGCACACAGCTTGAGCTGCCGCCACTCTCTTCCGCTGATCTCTTCTGCTTTAGCAATGATCCAGGAACATCCTTGGGTTGCTGTTGTGAAGATCAGACCCCACACTCTGGGCTGTTTGGGGTTGGAGAACCCCAGGTTTTAATCCTAAACAACCTCAAGTCTGTGTCCTTGGCTGAGGTGCGAACCCTTGAAGTGCTCTGAGATTTGTTAGGACAAAATTCAGGATGGCTGTCCCCCTCGTCTCCCCAGCAGTAAGTGTGTTGTGTTGTGTTGTGCTTGCAAGCTTAGAAGCCAAGCGTGAATTTGTGATGAGCGAATGATATTATTCTTAGCAGGCTCCAGGACTGCCTGGCAAAGTAATCCACTTCTGTGAGCTTTTGAAGTTTGCAGCAGCTTGAGTGTGTTTTGTGTCCCTGTGTTTCCCACACTTCTAACAGCTGATGCAACCCCTCTAAATGAAGACTGGAGACCAGCTTCAAAGCTCTGCCTGCCAAAATGTTAATTTGTGATTAGTGTGTACAGGTGTGTTAAGGGAACTTGCATGTAGGTTAGCTGAAAAAGCGATGCAGGAACCCTTTTGGTTAATTGGAGGAAGCGACTGCATTGGAAACGGAGGAAGATGCTTTTGAAGGAGCCCAGGTCATGGGATATGAATTTCTGAAAATAAATACGCACACATTTGAAGCTGTCTCCTACAAAGAGATGTGAAGGTTGGGGTGGGAGGGAGGCAGAATGAAGGGGAACCAAAGACCAGTAAAGCGTGTTTTTTCTCTCAGTGGCTTACAGGAAATTTGGGAAACGCCAGTTCCCCCCTGAACTTTTCGGATTTCCCTTCTGTTTTCCTCCAGGCCTTCACATTTCTGCTTTACCAGAGTGAGGCCAGCTGGTTACCTGAGCCCAAAATTGTCTCCCCAAAATGGGAGCAGTATTGCTCCCACCTGGGGACTAGGAATGTCTTTCAGGGTAGAGGATACCCACTTTCCGCCTGAGACTTCTTTTTGATCACATCTCATCCTTCTGACTTCTAGGAAGCTGGTGCTTCTCTCCTTCCTTTATAATTTAAGTGGGTGTCCTGCATCCGCAGGGGACTGAACCCAGTGGCCTTCCTGGCCCCTTCCAACTCCACTAGTCTGATCTCACGTGCTTTCCTTGCCGAGCTGGCTGCTCCCACTCGGAAGAAAGAAGAGCTCTGGGAGACTTTAATGCAGGACACCAAGCCATGCCCGGCTGGAGGGGTGGGTGACAGGGAGGTCCAGGCAAGCCTTGGCCTGATAGCCGCCGTTCTTCTCCTGGCCCTGGGGCAGCATCTCGTGGCACAATCGGCCAGAAAGCCCTTCCGAGCAAGATGACCAAGTGCCGGCTGGCACAGGGAGGTCAAGCGTGGCTCTTGGCCAGCCACGGCGGATGGCCAGGCATACTGCATCTCTCCCTCTGTCCCTGGAAGGGGACCGGCCGAGCAGCCGGTGCGTTCCAGCCCTGCTCTCAGCTGCTGAGCCATCTGGAGGGGAGGTGAAAAGGCCCGAGTTGGACTCGGCCTTTTGTTCGGTACTTTGGGGCCTCCCTCCCTCCGCACACGCCTCCCGGCCCTTTCCAGCCGTCTCTTCTGTCTCCTCGGCCTCCGAATAAACCGAGCCGGCAGCTAGAGAGGCATTTTCAGAAGTCTTCAGACGATGCGCAGAGTGCCCTGTGCACCTAAAACTTGGATTGGCTACCTGAGGAATGGCCCAGGAGGGTACCTGGGCACAAGGGCTGTTCCAAGCACCACCAGATGATGCTGGGGAGGACGGAGGAATGTCCACGTGAAGCAGCTGGACGCCTCTGTTAGTAGCGCAGGAGTGTTTTCTTAGTAGCTGAGGGTTGGCGGGCATCACAGAGACCCACATGGGTCACACTGCCCCTGGCAGGAGTTGCTCTGGGACACACGGCAGTGGCTGGCTCCACACATCCGATGAGCTGGGCATTGTGGGAAGTTACAGCCAGGTCTTGCATCGTGTTCCTCTCCCCCACCAAGGCATGGCTGTAAGCGGGTAATGGCACCAGCCCTTTAAAATAGTATCCTTCTGGGGTTTATGATGTATATGGTGGGCAGCCTTGCATGTGTGTGAGAGAGCGAGAAAGTCCAAAATGTGAGGCTCTGTTCTACAGTCAGAACACCTGGACACACAGCTGGACCCTCTGGGCAGCAGTTCCCAGGAAAAACGGGTGCTTGTTCAGAGGCGGCACGAGCTTCTCCTGTCCCTGGGTGCTTGGCTGGGCCTCGGTGGCTGGCCAGCCGGCCTTCGCAGGGCCCTGTGCCTTCCAGCCAGTCGGTGTGGACTCTCCCAAGATAACATGAGCTTCTCATGCTGTCCGTCGTGGTATAGCTGTTTCCCTTATCCAGCCTGAGGTTTTAAAAGAGGGACTGAATTACTGTGCTTTTGTTCTCCAAGGAGCTCGGGGAGATTTCTGCAGATGTGTGTCCCCATCTCCTGCCCTCCAGTTCTGTCCCAGGGACAGCCTGATGTGGCAGATGGAGCGCCATGTGAGGTTCTGGGCTGAAGGGGCAGTTGAACCCACTCTCCTTTTTCCAAGAGCGGCAGCGAGAACACCAGCACTGAGCAGGTCCTCAAGCACAGATCCTGTGTGATCGGAAACCCAACTCGGGAATGCGGTCCTGTTGGACTCGATCATGTCTTTGCTCCAAGTGCTGACATAGGGAAAAAGAGACGCTCCGAAAGGGATTTTGCATGGAGTGATATTTGCATGGGCTCTGTGGGATCCCCTCAGCATTTTCTTATGTATCTGAGGCTAGGCTTAAAATGACCACAAATACATTTTGCAGTATGAACCTGCTGTAGGTGTACAGGGTGGGGGGACACGTGGCTGGAGAGCAGCACTGGTGAAAGGGACCTCGGGGTGCTGGTTGGCTGCAGGCTGAACATGAGCCAGCCGTGTGACGTGGTGGTTTAGATCCTTGGATGTATAGCCAGAAGGTTATAGGGATCTAGGGAGGTATTGATTCCTCCCCACATGACTCTGGTGTGCTCACAGTTGGAATCCCCGTCCAGTTCCGGACTCCACATTATAGGAGAGACTTAGAAGTGGTCCAGCACAGGGTCACAAGAATGGTAGCTGGGTCGGGAGGGATGGCATAGGAGGAGAGATGGAGGGAACAGGGTCTTTTCAGCCTGGAGAAGAGGAGACTCCGAGGGGATCTTTGAGTGAGGGGGCGTCATGTGGAGGAGGGCCGTGAGCTGTTCTTCCCTGCAGTGGAGGGCAGGAACTGTTCCAGTGAGGCAAAGCTCAAGGAGCCAGGCTACAAGTTGGATGCCAGGAAGTCCTTCCTGACAGTTAGGACCCCTGAGGGTGTTCGAGGAAAGATTGGACAGCCACATGTTGGGGATTACATGAGCGCAGCCGGCTGGAGCCAGGGGTCAGACTAGATGCCCCAGGAGACCCCTTCTGACTCGCTCTGTTTCTCTGTTGACTGCCGCGTCACCAAATAAATATTTTGCTGGGCACGAGAAAGTTTTCTCTGTGACGGCTGTCGTACACTCACTGCAAGTGACATATGCACCTGCATGTGAGCTTTGCACTGCGGGCCTTAATATCATGGGTGGAACTTTCTGTATCGGCACAAATGCTTGGCTGCTGCTTGGGATGGGCCGCTTCACGGGGCTGCGCACGTCTCGCCTGATTAGCAAACAGTCACAGACAGCCGGAGCATCCTTTCACACGCCAAGAGAATATTTGTGCAAAGGAGTTGGTTAGTGCAGTGGCTCAGCTTGGAAATCCTGCGCAACTGTGGCTTCACCAACCGCCACTCAGGCAAGCCATGGTTTAGGGTGGTGTGGCTTGGCTTGGCTTCCTGTCTGCCTAACACTTCATCCTCTGAGGAAGGTGGTCCCTGCCGACCCAGCAAGAGTGATGGATGCCTTGCCCACTCAAGCACAACACAAATCTGTAGCACCAAGCACCGTTCATAAAACCGTGGTTTCTGGCTCTGGGTTCCAACCGGCCCATCAGTTTGCGCATGATGCCCGTTCGTATTAAAGCGTCCTTCGTCTTTGTATGAATCTGGCTGCAGCACTCTGATAAACCGAGGGCCGCCGGCATCCCCTGCACCGGGGCAGGGTTTGGCTCTGAACAAACCCACCGTCTGTGCACTGAGAGTTTTAGAAGTGGCAGAATGACAAGAGACGCTGCGGAGTTGCAGGGCCCCAGGGGCGAAGTCCCGAGACTTGGAATAGGGGCATCTGCCGAAGAGGATCCAGCTCTGGCTATTGATCCCGAGTTGGTCTGATCCAGAGACTTCACGTTGGCATTCATGATGCAGTAGCAAGGCGATAGGCCTCCGCCCCAAGGAGCTTGCAGTCTGAAATCTGAACAAGGAAGATGGCAGACAGCAGGGAGGAAGAGGAAGCTAGAAAGGGGAGGAAACCGAGCACAGTTTATGCATGTCTGTCCAGCTTCGTTTCAACAGGAAATTGGGAGCTGCAGCGAAGTGTCGCAGTAGATTCTGTGCTCCAGACAGGAGTGTGCATGTTCGGAGGGGCCATCCAGTCCTCCCTGGGCGCCTCTCGCAGGCTCTTCCCCCCCAGCCCCATTTCCCATTTTTCCTTCCCAAGTGATGCTCCACATCGCACAGTGACTGAATACTCCCAGTCTGCATGGAGCTGCTTGGAGCTACTTTTCCACCAAAATAGTTTGGTGGTGTTTGCTAATCCTTAGATCGCACCTGGACACGCGCAGCTGGTGGAATACTTGCCCCCGGCTCCATTTCCTCTGGTGTTCACACATGACCTCCGTTTGCTTTTAGAGGAGCGGTTTGCACAAAGTTGTGCCAGAAGGTTCGGGGGGGGAGGGGGGACTGAGGAAGCCTTTGCAGGAAGTAGGAGCAGTGGGCATTGCCCAAGTATTCTGAGTAAGAGGGTAATCCTGCGCACACTTCTGGGGTTTCTGCACTCTGTATATTACCTCATTTTCAAATCTGACTGGCACTGTACTCCATCATGTGTATTTCATTGGAAAAGTAGCGAACCTGCCCTGTTCCAGACGGTGGGGAGACTCAGACCACTTTTAGCTCTCTCTTCAACTTTAAAAGATACTCTCCCTTAAATATACAATCCTGGAAAAGGAAATCCCCCCTGCCCCCTGTTTTCTGGAAGTTCGTACTAATATTTATTTATTTGATTTGA